GCCCCTCAATTCAAAAAAAAAAAATGCCCACGGGAGCTCCTTTTGTTTTTTGAGGGAGGGAGCACCTGTTCGGCGCTGGCGCCCACGCGCCCATCTCATGGGCTGGCCCATGACGCGCCGCACAGTAAACATTTGTCATGAGAAAAGCACGCATAATAAAAGGTGGGTGTACCACGCTTCGAACTCGCGTCATGCCACTACAACAAAAGAAAGATTTTGCAACCGCCACACCTGCTAAACGCTAGTGATTGATTGGAACGCGAATGTTTAAGAACCACTGTATCCGCACTATTTATTAGATTTCCAGACTTATCTGGAAACAATTTAGAAAAAGTTGTTTTTTTAATGAAAAACAGTTCATCAATTTTTTTTAAAACTTACCAAGTTGAAAAACAGTTCATCGACTTTTTAAAAAGTAGATCAAATTTGGAAAAAAAAGTTCAACAACTTTAAAAAAAGTTCATCCATTTTTTAATAAAAGGTCATCGAATTTAAAAAAAATCGTTGAATTTGAAAAAAATCGTCGAAATAGGAAAAAGTTAATGGATAAATCCACAAATTTAAAAAAAAATCATCGAATTAGAAAAGAAGTTCATTGAATAAAAAACCATCAATTTTGAGAAAAAATTTCATCGATTTTAAGTTCACAAATTTGAAAGAAATCATCAAACCACGAAGAAGAAAAAAGAAAAAAAAAGAAAAAAGAAGGAAAAATGGCAAAGAAAGAAGAAATAAGAAAAGATGGAAGAAGATGTTACATATCATATCGGGCATGTTGGCGTGGTCGTTATTGGGGCGTAGCTCCATCCTTGAGGTCCTTCGTTCGATCTCTGTAGGCGCACATTTTTTTGCGTAAAACAGAAATAAAGTGGCGGAATGGGTCGGCCTAGTGCGGGGCGCTGCAGGCGTCCGTTTACAGAATACACATTAACTGGCGCCTGCAGCGTCAAATATGATTCTCCCATGCCCACGGTGGGGGTCGTTCATCTGCGGCGATGGATATGAACGCCAAGGCTATAGCTCGCACATACAAGAGATCCGTTGGTTTCTGTTAGAAATAAATGGGCTAGGTCCATAACAATTTCTGAAATCTCAAATGGTGGCCCATGATCCCCCCGCTTTGCCCCTGCTCGGGCGGGGATGAATCTCCTTTCCCTCCGGCCTACAACCCATGGGCCAACAGTGGTTGCGGGGGCCTCCCTCTCTCGCTACGCCATGGGGATGGTGTGGAGCCATGCGATGTGAAGAGGCGCGACCGATCTGGCCTTAGCAGTGCGGCGGGCGTCCCTGCCTTGATCAGTGGCGGCGCGTCGGCCGGCTCTTCCTCGGGCGACGCTGACTACAGGCGCGACAGCTGGCCTTTCCGCGCGCAGCGACGTTGGCTGCGTTCGGCGGCGGTGTACGGTTCTGCGGTGATGGGCCATTTGACCTTGGATCGTCGGCGGCGGCATGGAGGGCTTGGTGGACGGGTCGACGCAATGAGTGGTCTGGCCTTCGAACATATCTGATCTGGCCAATGCGGCCTGCTTGTTGTGCATCGGCTCAAGTTGGTAGCGACCCGTGCACACGATGCTTGATGGAGGTTTGTTGAGCAGATCTGGGTGAAAATCTTGTTCTTGGCTTGTTGCCAAGACCGGCGATGGCGGCACTCTTTCATGTCGTTACCTTCTTGAAGGCATCGCTATGGAGAAGTTCCAGACCTCTATCCGCTACTTCCGTGGGAAACTCTAGATCAGTAGATCGGATGATGGCGGCACTCTGGTGTCGTTTCCCCCTGTGGGCCAAATGATACGTCTCAATCGTATCTACTTTTCCAAACTCTTTTGCCCTTGTTTTGGACTCTAGGTTTCATAATTTGAATGGAACTAACCCGGACTGATGCTTTTTTCAGCAGAATTGCCATGGCATTATTTTTGTGCAGAAATCAAAGTTCTCGGATTGACCTGAAATTTACGAATAATTTTTGTGGAATATATAAAAATACTAGCGCAAGAAATAACCAGAGGCCACCCAGAGGCCACAAGCCCTGGGGCGCACCCTGCAGGCTTGTGGGCCCCCTGGACCTCCTCCGACCCTAACTCCAACTCTATAAGTTCCTATTCGAGGAGAAAAAATCAGAGAGAAGGATTAACCGCGTTTTACAATACGGAGCCGCCCCCTCCTCCCGTTCTTCATCGGGAGGGCTGATCTGGAGTCCGTTCGGGGCTCCGGAGAGGGGGATTCGTCACCATCATCGTCATCAACCTTCCTCCATCACCAATTTCATGATGCTCACCACCGGGAGTGAGTAATTCCATCGTAGGCTTGCTGGACGGTGATGGGTTGGATGAGATTTATTATGTAATTGAGTTAGTTTTGTTAGGGTTTGATCCCTAGTATCCACTATGTTCTGAGATTGATGTTGCTATGACTTTGCTATGCTTAATGCTTGTCAGTAGGGCCCGAGTGCCATGATTTCAGATCTGAACCTATTATGTTTTCACGAATATATGTGTATTCTTGATCCTACCTTGCAATTTTTAGACACCTATTACTAGTTATGATCCGCATACCCCAAGGTGACAATAATTGGGATTCTTCCCGGTGATTACCGTAGTTTGAGGAGTTCATATATTCACTAAGTGCTAATGCTTTGGTCCGGTTCTCTACTAAAAGGAGGCCTTAATATCCCTTAGTTTCCATTAGGACCCCGCTGCGACGGGAGGGCATGCCAAAATATGTCATGCAAGTTCTTTTCCATAAGCACATATGACTATATATGGAATACATGCCTACATTATGTCGATGAATTGGAGTTAGTTCCATGTCACCCTAGGGTATAACTGCTACCTGATGAATATTACCCAACACTATTATCATTGCCGATCCAATGCCTACGAGCTTTTCACATATTGATCTTTGATAAGTTACTTTCATTGCTACTGCTGTTACATTGATCTTTGATAAGTTACTTTCGTTGCTACTGCTAGTACAATCACTACAAAACTGCCACTGTTACTTTTTCCGCCGTTACCGTTATTTCCATACTACTTTGCTACTAAATACTTTGTTGCAGATATCAAGTCTTTCAGGTGTGGTTGAATTGACAACTCAACTGCTAATACTCGTGAATATTCTTTTGCTCCCCTTGTGTCGAATCAATAAATTTTGAGTTGAATACTCTACCCTCAAAAACTATTGTGACCCCCTATACTTGTGGGTTATCAAGACCTTTTTCTGGCGCCATTGCTGGGTAGCATAGCTATATTTGCTCAGTCACTTGGGAGTTATATCCGTTGATCACTATGAAGAATCTGAAAGATACCAAAACCAAGATTTTTCCCTCTAGGATGAGGGGAGGTAAGAAACTACCATCTAGCTCTGCACTTGATTCACCTTATGTTTTGAGTAAGCTTGCGACACCTACACGTGCTATTGATTCTGATATGTCGCAAGTAATTGATGATGGTACTTCTGCTATGCATGATGCTTATGATGACACTACTACTTTGCTTGATAATATTGTGCCACTGGGTGAATTTCTTGATGAACAACTTGCCAGAGCTAAAGATATTGAGAATGCTGAAACTGATGATATTTCTAAAACTGGTGAAATTATTAAAATTAAAAAATTTGAAACACCCATTAGACCTAGCTCTCCTAGATATGAATTACCTGTTATACCTGAGCGTTATGTTATGGATGGGGAGGTAGCTAGGGACTTTCCTGCTTGTAAGGATAGAGATGATCTTAAGAAATTACTATGCAAGTGGAAAGAAAAATCTTTGAATGCTAGAATGCAATATGATCCTAAGTTTGCGACTTCACCTATCTTTGTTACTGATAAGGATTATGAATTCTCCGTCGATCCTAAATCTGATCCTTTCCATGGTTATGAATCTGAAACCGCTGTGGCACATCTTACTAAATTGAATGATATAGCCACCCTATTTGCTCATGAGGAAAAAACTCTGCTATTACTATATTCTTAAGTTGTTTCCTTTCACATTAAAGGGTGATGCTAAGTTATGATTTAATTCTCTGGCTCCTGGTTGTGTGCGTAGTCCCCAGGATATGATATATTACTTCTCTGAGAAATATTTTCCTGCTCATAAGAAACAAGCCGCATTACAGGAAATATTTAACTTTGTGCAAATCAAAGAAGATAGTCTCCCACAAGCTTGGGGGAGGCTTCTCCAATTACTTAATGCTTTGCCCGATCATCCTCTCAAGAAAAATGAAATACTTGATATCTTTTATAATGGACTAACCGATGCTTCTAGGGACCACCTAGATAGTTGTGCTGGTTGTGTTTCCAGGGAGCGAACTGTTGAACAAGCTGAAGTACCATTGAATAATATATTGAGTAATGATAATAATTGGACTCTTCCTGAACCATCTCCCAAGGCAACTTCGAAGAAGATAGGTATTCTATTTCTCTGTACTGGAGATATGTAAGAGGCAAAGAAATCTATGAAAGAAAAAGGTATTAAAGTTGAAGATGTTAAGAATTTACCACCTATTGAAGAAATACATGGTCTTGATAACCCAACCCAGGTAGTAAAGGTAAATTTTGTGTATAGATTTGATGAAGTCCTCATAATAAATCTGCTAGTCA